GGTCTCTCTGCTTAGCGCTCAGACAGACCAGAAGATCAGCGTCATCAATGCCGCATTGGAGGAGCTGAAGACCTCAGTTGCTTCGATATCTCGTCCACCATCCACGGCATCTGGCGGTGCCAGCACTTGGGGGACCGCAACCACACCCCGTGGAGAGACCGCCGCGCCTGCTGACAGGCGCAAGCTCTGGGTGCGAGGGTTTCCTGTCAAATTGATGGCCTCCGCGTTCGACAAGCACTTCGAATTCCTGAAGACCCTTCTCTCGCCCACCTACCGCGACAGGTGCACCGCTATCACCAAGAGCTGCAAGTACGCCTACGTCATCATTTTTGAGAACGCCGACGACGCCAAGAATGCATTGTTGCAGCTGCGTGCCATGACACTAGAATGGGGAGATGGCAGTGGCTTTCGGCATCGTCTTCGAGTTGGCACTGACGAACCCATCGATGTCCGCAAGAAGGGCTGGGTGCTGGGCCAGGTCTGGCAACATATCAAGCAAGTCATGGTTGATGCTGGCACTTGGCGACCTGACTCGCAGCTACGCTGCAACAAGTACATGGGCCTCTGCTTCCTGGTCAACGGCGACCTCGTGGACGAGCTCGTCGTGCTGCAGAACGTCCTCGAGACCGACAACCCGAACGTCGAGCCCAACCGGGGCAACCTGAAGCGCTACGGCTTCACCGACGAGCAAGTCGACAAGCTGCCCGAGCTGGTCACTGCTGCGCTTCGCCGCGAATAGGGGCGAAGTGAGCCAGTACCTGTGAGCGACAGCGATGATGAATTCGACCCTGAACGATTGCGAGCCCTTCTGCGAGAACGGGGGGGGGCCACCTCGAATCTGCCCGACTCTCCTCTTTCCGAGAATGCGCCAGCTATTCTTGATCCGTACCTTCCTGTTCCACTTTCTCCTGGGGGAGGTGATGCTGCTCCTGCTGAGCAGCGGCATCCATTTGTCATCTCTCGCACTGTGGGTCTTGCTTCATGGAATACTCGTGCATTTTTTGGCAGTGTGTATGGCGATCCACAGAGACAGCATCGGAAACAGCAGATTTTCAGAAGTCTTGTACACCGCTTTCAAGTAGTATTTTTGCAGGAAACCCACGGGACCCAAGAAGATCTTTCCTCGCTGGATCGTGACGTGCCAGCTCACACGCACTTTGGCTCGTTTTGCTCTTCTGCGGCGGCGGGAGGCGTTACCATGTCTATTGATCCTTCCCTACTCCAGCTCTTTCAGGACATCCACGTTGAAAACATTATCGATGGACGATGCATTGCAGTTACGTTAATAGGCGAGAAAGGCACGTTGCAATTGATTAACTTTCACCTCGACCCCACCCTCTCCGACGTTGAGAAGGATCGTGTGATCCGCACTGTTGCTGCTCACGCTCTGCCTGCTGATCAGGCCACTGCCATCTTGGGAGGCGATTTTAACTTCTCGGAGGAGGGGGAGATGAGGACGTTCACTGACGGAAGGGAACCCACCCCTGAGAGGACTGCTGTTCTGCATATGTTTTCTCGGGTTTTCGGACACCTCGCTGAAGTTGCCCAACAAGAGCCCACTCATCGGTCTGGGAGGAGGGAGGACGGTGCGCTTAGCCTTGGACGCTTGGACAGGTTCTACATATCTTCTGCCACCACCGACATTCTAGATGCGACTCCACGGAGCGGAGTCATAGGTCTTGCTCATGATGTCGCCCAGCCGAGCGACCATATTCCTGTCTGGCTTCAGTTTTCGCCTGGCGGCAGAACAACCCCGACGATCCCCTCCTGGATTGCCAAACATCCTGATTTTGGTACTGAAGTTGAGGCTGCCATTGGTTCGGTTGAAATGCCCAGGGACCCGTTCGAATACCTCCTGTCCGTCAAAGACGCGATGTATGTTGCCAAGGATGCTTTGATGACTCGCATGTTCTTCCGAGGCCCCCACAACGACGCGCAGAAGTTATCGGTCTACCTTAAGTTGCTTCGGGCTGTTCGGGATGGCAAGTCTTGGGACATTCGGAGGTGTATCCAGGCTATTCCTCATCTTAGTCTACATGTTCATGCTGATGAATGTTGTTTTAGAGATTCGGTGTCATTTTATCGTGAAATGGCAGAGCTTCAGCACTCTCTTCTCCAGCGAGAAATTCGCGAACATGTCGAAGGCGGCGGGGCCCCCGACGACGATCGAGGCCTCAGGTTGCACCAGCTTCTGCGACAGTGGTCTCCCAAAAGGCGCCGTATTGTTCTGGTTTCCGCCCCCGACCCCACCGGGTGCCCTTCGCCTGACCTGGAGGTCAGTGCTCAGAATCTTGCGTCGCACTGGGGGCGGGTCCATGCCGCGAAGCCTCAGGACAGGGGATACCACTTCCAGAAGACACTGTTGAGCAGTGAGATTCAGCAGGTTGCCCCAGGTATCGAGTGGACGCTCGACCTGCATAGCTTCATAGGTAAGCTCGTCGGCCGCAAGGACAGCGCGACTGGCCCCGACGGCATCCCATACAGTGCATGGCGGTTCGCTGGCGACGCCGCTCACAATGCCTTGTATCAAGTTTATCTCGCTATTTTGGACAATCCTACATATGGGCCCCCACATAAAGGCTTCAACGAGTCCCTCACGGTGTACCTCCCAAAGGCCATCCACCCGCACGAAGCTGGAACCTCTGAGATCTCTCGGGAAGCGTCTGTGGTTCGCCCTATTGCCCTCAGCAATACTGATAACAAAATAGCATCCTTGGCCATATGCGAACCATTTAGCCAGCAATGCCAGCACAGCGTCCTAGGCTCCCAGACGGGCTTCGTGCGCAAGAGGTCTATGCTCGACAACTTGCTCTGCCTTGAGGCAGACATTCTTGAATATGCCTGCTATCGTGGCATGCCGCACGCAGGACTGCTCCTCTTGGATTTCCGCGCCGCGTTCCCGTCGCTGCGCCACGACTGGATCATAGATGTGTTAATCATGATGAATATTCCCATGTATATCGTGAATGCCATTCGGTTCCTTTACACAGGCATCTACACACACATATGCCTAGCAGGCAAAAAGTTTCCAGGCTACTCGATCACCCAAGGCATTAAACAAGGATGTCCACTGTCGGGTGCACTATTTGCATTATGCATCGACCCGCTGCTGCGCCGATTATCTAACTTGCTAGCTCCAGTTTGTGCTTCACCCCGTGCATTTGCAGATGACATCCAGATCTCGGCATCCAACCTGTTGCTAGCTGTTCCGATTGTGCTGAAGAATGTTATTAGGTCCAGCCGATGTACTGGCCTGCTCTTGAACCTTGCCAAGTGCATGATCGTGCACACGCAAGAGATGCCAGATGACCAGCATTTCGCCTTATTCGAAACTGTTCGCACTAACGTTCGCTCGCTCATGCACGGCACCAGTGGCAAAGTCTTGGGTGTTTTCCTGGGCCCTGGTGGTTACAAGAAATCCTGGTCCGCTCCGCTTCAGAAATATATTTGTCGGGTCCGTCATGTTCGGTCGCTTCGTCTTGGGCTTACTCAGAGTATTTATGCATGCAATTCCCTGGCCTTCTCGGTCCTCACCTTCGTGATGCAGCTATGTTACATATCGCAGGATGCGCTTCGCATGGAAACAAAAGGATTGCAGACTCTCACCGCGTGCCCGTTCTACAGCATTCCTACTGATCTCCTCCGCAATCTCTCGTCGGCGCTGCATTGGCCCATTGCCCCGCGCAACCTCGTGCTGGAGAATCAGGCTGCCATGTATCGGGTCGCTGTTCGATCCAAGGTTTTTGACAGCATTCGGAGGCGATTTCACGAGCTTGAGGAAGATGACTGGGATGTTCTAATGGTCAAGCGGTTCCCGACATGGCGTGCCGAGTCCATTGTTTTCCATCTGATTCACAACTACGAGCGTCTAACAGCCCTGCCGTGGAACCACTTCGATGAGGACACTCACGAGTTGCAGAAACAGATTTTGAAGAAGTTGATTTCTGAGGCCCCCAGTTGCTCCGCGGTTTTTCTCCTGGGCAATCGAATTCGTTTCGCTTTTCCTTTGGTTAATGCCTCTAGTATCGACCTTGCTGTGCTCAGGCTCCGAATTGCCTGCACGCGCGTCGGCCCTTTTGTGGCTGCTGCCATTCTCAAAACCATCTGCAACGCGTGGGCGACCTCTGCCAGGCATAGGCAAGGCCGTCTTACCTGTCGCTTCGGCTGCCGAGCCGCTGGCGGCGACCACGTCCAGCATTATTTCGATTGCCCTCATGTTCTGAGCCTGCTTCCCTCTGTCCTGCCCTCCCTGCCAGCCGAATATTTGAATCAGAGCCTCGATGCGCGTATGCTGTGCACCATGCCATGCCATTCTAGTCAGCAGTTGTTTTCCTTGTTTCTCGTCCACGACCTGCTCTTTTCCACCTTTAACTCCTTGAGGAGCTCGCACAGGCACGGGCCCGAATGCCTGCTGCCTCTCCTGCGCGCCCGCGCCCGGCACATCGCCAAGAAGGGGCGCGTCGTGCGGAGCGTCCTCACCAGGAGGCTCGCTGCAGAAGGCAGCTGAACGGCCCGTCTCTCTGACTCGCCCAGGGGAGTGCGATCATCATCATCATCATCAGCATCATCATCATCATCATTATAATCATCATCGTAATCAGCACCGTCATCATCATCGTCATCATCATCTCATCATCAGCATCATCAGCATGATCATCCCCCGCCTCCTTTTCCTCTTCCTCTTCCTCCCCCTCCTCCTCCGCCTCGCACGATTGCTCCTCAAGCTCCCGCAGCAGCTTGATGCAGTGAAAGCTGCACAGGCTGAAATGCCCAACGAAAACGCTCTGCGTCCCCCTCCGCCTGACGTTGCCCGGTCCTGCAGGTGGCGGAAAACAGCAGCTCGGCGTCGAGCATCGCGAGATATCGGACCCCTCGTGGTACTGGCGCCCGCCCGCCTCCGCACCACCATCTCCCGCCCCACTCGTCCCCCCCCCCCCTCACCCCGCGCCCTCCCCCCATCGGCTCCTCGGCCGCCCTTCCCGCCCCGCGCCGACCTGCAGTCCTGCGACGACCCCGACTGGCACACCGCCGGCGACGGCGGGAGCGGGAGCGGCGCCGGGCCCATCCAGAGGGGACCTGACGGGCGGCGGGAGCGACGGCCCCTCGTGTTCGAAGATCGGCGCGATAAGAGTGTTCAGTCGGGCCTGTCCTCCTACAGGGGGACATTGGACGAAAAATCGAAGATAGTCAAAAAGTACCCCCAAATGGTCAACAAATATTGAAAAAATAGCCCCCAGACTATATTTTGACTATTTCTGAATATTCCCCCTGTAGAGGGACAGGCCCAACTTAATAAAAGTGGGTGCGGGAAGAACGGGGGCAAAGACTGACAGCAGGTCCTGTCCACTCTGTGCAGGGCTCGCTGTGGGTGCCGCCGCGCGATGCTTGTCCGTGTGAGGCGGAAGGCCGCTTGCCCAGCAGCGCGCTCCTTTCGCTTGGCATCGCTCGGACCAGTGCATTTTTTTCGGTGAGAACCATCGAGGACCATCCTGGACCATCGAGCAAGAAAAGCACGCACGAAACCGAAAAATGCACGGAAAATGGACGTCCCAGCGACGGCAAATCCGGTGTTGGACAACATGTCCTGCTGGGTAGCGAACCGAATGTCTCCGCACAGTCAGACCTCGGCCATAAGAATATACCTCAAGAACATGAGACCCTCCGCCGGCCAAAACATACAGAACATCCAAGGGTACCCTCCCCAGGATGCACAAGAGCGTCCAACAAACACGAAGAACCTTAGGATACCCTCCCCGAACCGACCTTGATTTTATACCTCGGTCCGACAGTATCCGTTCTGGGCGCCCAAAGAGCCACGACACAGATTTTCGGAAGTCCGCGCGGATGTGCTGGATCGGCGTTGGGCCCCTCCTGACGGCGCTGGACCTGCCAGGCGGCGGAAGCGAAGATGCCTCTGCTGGGGAAGCGCCAGACCCGTACCTGCCGAGGCTCGGGTCTGCCGCCACTGCTTGGCCGTCTTCTGATGATCGTTCGTTTCCTTATTCATTGCTTATGATGACCGTTTCCTTATGATCATGGCTAGACCGGTCTTCTGATGATCGTTGTCTTAGTCATTGCTTTGCCGATGGGCGCGGGCCCTCGCCCTCCCCCCCCCTCCTCCGCCCCCCCCTCCCGTGGAGGAGATCTTGGCTTTTCTGGGGCGCCTGCTGCGAGCAGGTGGAGTCTGCCCCAAAGAACGCACTGCTGCAAGCAGTCCCAGTAAGCAGAGGTCCGGAGCCAGACCCTCCTTCTCTCCCCCCCCCGCCCAATGTTCATGGGCTTGTTTTCCACCACCACCATAAGTTGGAAGGGGGAAGGACGTGGAGGATGAGGAAGAGGAGGAGGAGGAGGGAGGAGGAGGACCCCCTCCTCCTCCTCCTCCTCCTCCTCCTCCTCCTCCTCCTATTTATGGTGGTGGTGGTGGTGGTGGAAAAAAAGCCCACCAAATGTCGAAACGCCGGCTAAGAAAACGTTCGCCCTGGGAGGGGTCGAGAGTTCGGGGGTTCCACGCCGCCCAGAGATCGAGCTGTCGGAGGTCTGGGCACCACAGTGCGAGAATCCTACAGTGGAGACCCATGCCAAGAAACACCCTGCTTGTCTCCAGGGTGCCCTGGGTTTCTTGGATTTCGATGGGTTCTGCGATGGTAAGCGTGACGCTCCCGCGCCAAAAATCAATAGACGTCCTCGGGTCTCAGGGTTGGGTTTCTTGTGAACGGTTTCTTGTGGTCGAGCCCCGATTGTAGAGCTGGTCTATCAGTGCACCAGCTGAGAGCCCACCGGCTGAACATAAACTCGACCCGTGCATTTATCGATGACGCCTACGGCGAACCACCGCCGCCCCCTGCCTTCTGGAGGCGCCCATGTGGCCGAACGGTGCGGCCAGAGCTCGGCCAAGCTATCGTGCGATGTGTTCCCCCAGCCGTTGTGGAAACCCTTTGAGGAGCACGTGGGTGAGAAAGAAGCAGGAGGAGGAGGAGGAGAAGGAGGAGGAGGAGGAGGAACACGAGGAGGAGGAGGAGGAGGAGAAAGAAACCTCTCGGGAGCCTCTTGGGGCACTCTTGGGACCTCCTGGGGGCTTCCTGGCGGCCCCTTGGAGGCCTCTGAGGGGCTTCCTTGGGCATCTGGGGGGCCTTGGGGATTCCTTGGGAGGCTCTTTGTAAATCTGAGGGCATCCATCCGCGCACATGCCGCCGGCCATGATTTCCCCCCTCTCTTGGACGCCCCCCTCTTGGCCGCTCCCGATTTTGGGCCCACGACATGATTAGCCCTTTTAGGGGCCTTCCAGGCCTCCCCCCCGCCGCTCAAAATTGTTCAGGAGGCAGTACAAAATCGACCAGAGCGGCTTGACAGGGCCGAAGACGCCCGAACAAGTGCATCAAGACGGATCAAGAGACCCCGCAGATGTCATAAAATGGCTCCAAGATGCGCCCCTAGAGGGCCCCAGGAGGCCAAAGTTGTTTCATTCCCGGGGGGAACAAACATTTTAAGCAGATTCGCACTTCGGGTCTTAACAGCGTTCAAAAAGGCCCAAGAGGCCCCACAGATCGCCCCAAGACTGGCCAAGAGGCCTCCAAGAGGGCCCCAGGACGGCCCAAACGAGTCCCAAGACGGTCCAAGAGGCGCCCAAAACGGCCCAAGACGGCCCCAAGAGGAGTCCAAGACGGAGAACTCCAACTGACATTTCGAGCCCTCCGCCAGGAGTGGGCCCCCGAGGCCGCAGCAGGGACCCAAGAGGCCCCCAAGGGCCCCCAAAGAGGCCCCAAGGGCTCACATGAGGCCACCAGAAGCGTCAAACTCGCTCCACGAGCCGCCCGAGAGGCATGCCAAGAGACCCCGAAGTACACATATCCAATAATTCTCTGGCCCAGAACTCACGCACAGTGGTACGGGCCGAAGGCCATAGATCAGCAAGCAGTGGGTTTGGTGACGGACCCATCCCTATGCAGTCATGTGCAGTGCAGAGCGCGGGTCTCTCATCATACACTGCGCGCCGCGGGGCAATGCGGAACGATGGCTGCCGCGGGGCACGAATGCACTGGTGCGCTGAGTTCCCTGTGGGGCACGAGTGGCCGCGCGAGCACGCCCACTGGAGGCCGCAGGTGGAGGACCTCCTCCGTGCGCGCCCCGCGCGGGGCAGGTTCCGAAGTGGGCGCGGGGGCGCAGTGCGAAGCTGCCCACTGGTGCCATAGGTGGAGCTCCTTCTGGGGCATGATTCGCGTGGTGTGCCGACGTGGGCGGGGAGGGCGTTGTACGAACCTTGTCTCTGGGCCTCTCGGTGGTGCTCCTCGTGGGCGCGGCCCGCTCGACGGGGCGTGCCGCAGTGGCCAGGGGGGTTGCAGTGCGAGCCCTGCCTCTGGGGCCGTGGGTGGAGATCCTTGTGGGCCACGATCCGTGTGAGAGGTGTGCGGAAGGAGGCGGGAAATGCGGGATGCGGACTTTGTCTCTGGGGCCGTCCGTGGAACTCCTTGCGGGTCACGATCCGTGTGAGAGGTGTGCCGAAGCCAATGGGAAGAAGCTATGAAGCTCCCCTCTTGTGCCGCAAATGCAATTTCCTGCGGGACACGATCCGCGCGAGGGGCGTGCCGCTATGCGAACCTTGTCTCTGAGGACGCAGGCGAAGCTCATTGGGGCGCGGGCCCTGTGAGGGGTCTGCCGACACGGGCGGGGGGGCTTAAGCCAAGCTTGTCTCTGGGGCCGCAGGTGGAGCTCCTTGAGACGCACGATCTGTGTGACAATAAATGTCCTCCGATGCCGAACACATTAGACTACAACCAGAGCTTGTTCGAATCCAAGCGCGCGTGGTTCTAGAATCTATACACATATATCTATATATATATATATATATATATGTATACATATATATATATATATATGTATATGTGTGTGCGGGTTCACGCGTGTGCATGCGTATGTATGAGCATCTACCTCCCCGCTGCCCTCCCCTCACCTGCCGTCCGCTTCCCTCGCCTCTCGTTTCCACCACCACGCCTTACTCCTCTTACATCCTGTTCCTCTGCCTCCCCCTCTCCCTACCCCTCCCTCTCCCCGCATCGCATTCCCTCCTACTTCCCATCGTCCGCATCTGCCCCCCTCTCCTCACCCTCCCGAGTGCAGAAGGGAGGCCCCGCAATACGAGAAGTGGTACTGATCGGCATCGCGGGGCCCAGCGGGGTGGGCAAGACGACGCTGGCCAGGAGCTTGGTGAACCCCTGAGTCCCTTCTTCCCTTTGTCCTTCCCCTGTGCCCCCTGCTCTATCCACCACCGCTCCTCCACCGCCTATATGCTTCCACCCCTCTTCTTCCCCTCTCCTCTTCCCTCCCCCTCCCTCCCACTACCTCTCGCTATCTCTCTCTCTCTCTCTTTCTCTCTCCCTCTCCCTCTCTCTCTCTCTCTATGCTCGGCTCGAGGATCCCTCACCCAGAGCATAGCCAGGGCACGAAACTTCCCGCGCCCTTCAGCCTGGTGCAAACCCGTAACCGTGCCAATTCTACAGGACCGATTCATGCCACATCCCCTTCAGCACGCGCGCGCTCGCCGTGGCCCCGAAAGGTCCTCGCAGTGAGCGTACCTATCCCCAGAAAAATCAGCTTCCAGGCAAAGGCCACCGAAAGGTGCTTTTTACCGTCTAGCAGCCTGTCCCGAAGGGAAGCTTGTGTCGTCGCGCTTCAGAGAAGTCGCGTCTTCGACCGAGCTGCATACAACGAACTCGCTCATAAGCGCCATCCGAACCCGGCACCACTCACCAGCAACGTCGCTCCAATCGGCACAAGCTCAGGGGCCGATCAGTTTCACCATGCTGCACTTCTCCCCCACGAACAAGCGGGCTCCGGCCGTGAGTCACCAGGGCCCACGGCCTCCGCCGACGCCCCCCTGGGCAACGGCACCGCCCCACTCGTCAGCCTGGATCCACCAAACTGGGATGTCCCCATCGCTTTTGCTCGCAACCAGGCGGAGGACAGCACGTCGCACACCAGCAGCATCTTCCTTTCCACGCCAGAAGAGGGCACGATCGGCTCTTGCAGCAAATCCGCCGACAGGATAAGTCCCTCGCGCAAGCCGTCTTGGAATCAGCCAACACCGATTACCCAGGGACAGAAGTCCTAATGCCTGCCCTCTGCAGGACTGCTAAGGCGGCCCCACGCAAGGCACATACAGGGAACCATTTACCAACTAATTGGGCCGCACAGAGGTCAAGTGCCTGCAGAATGTCGTTCGAGTGGCCCTCGACCCATCAGACAACCTGCTCTGGATCCGTTGAGCTATCTGCGGCGTTGATGCGATTGCCGTCACGCCAACACGGCAGGAGCCGTTCACCTCCCAGTCTCTGGGAGTAGCTCCCATCAGCGGCACGCGCCAGCCAGGAGGGATGGGATGGGCACGGCACAGCAGAGGGCCAAGGAGCGACATAACATGGCAAAGCGTGACCAAGCACGCAAACAGCTCGATGACGATCCCACCTACGTTTCCATTGCCACCTTTACCTCCCACGTCCACGCCGTACACATACAGGAGCCCATGAAGCTACTGGGACGTCACGGCAGTGTAGCGGGCAGGCGCACGTTCACCGCTACCTTTAGCACGAAGCCGACGGACGTCCCAATCGTCTTGGCCGCCTCAGGCCAAAGAGGTGTCCAGTTTGACATCAGCTACCACAGCACCAAAGGCCATGCGCCCACTGGATACATGACGGTATGGCACCAGGACGGCCAACATATCATACTCCAAGAGAGCCACCAGGCCTCCCAAAGAGTTCAATGCTTTTTCGGAGCAATTCGCGCCGACAAGCTAGTAGGCGCCCGAGCGAAACCCAACATGAACGAAGCCAAGCAAGTCACACACGACCTCAGAGGAAACGACGCGGCGCTTGCGAATACGAAATATCGTGTCGCGGGCATCGAGCCCCAGGGTGGTATTAAAACACAAAACACCAAAGTCCTCACATCCATCCAAAGGCATTGCGAAGTAGAGCACGCGGCATGAGACAAAGCCACCCAGGGGGGACTTTGCCATCGCCAAAGCGGCCACACCCCCGCCCAATACCACCGTGCACGTCCAAGGACCCGCCACCCCACGGACCATCACTCAGGTGGGCACCACCACCAAGACGGACCCACCGAAAACGCCGACGGGGAAGATCGGCCGACCAGAGGCCATCGCTTGAGAGGCACCCGCCCATGCCGGGGCCCCCCACCATGTGGCCCAGGCACCACCACCACGCCGACTCCCCAGGACAGGGCGGCCACCAGGCCGCCCATGGGCACGCCGCCGCCAGGAAAACAGCCGCGCGGCGCCACCTCCACCAGGGATGCCATCGGACTTCGTCACCCAACACCACCGGGTGAGAGGACGGCAACTGACATTCCGCTGCCGCGCACCCGACCAGGGGAAGCGCCACTGGACAACGACTCCTTCATGGAGAGCACGCCCGGAGACGGTTCACTGGAGGCGCCGCCACGGCCAGCTAGCCCGCCAGAGTTCGACCGCAATCGCGACAGGGGCACGACGAGGCGCAGACACGCTTCGATCACCACGTAGATCACTTTGGCAATCGCGACCGCAGCAACTGCAGGAGAGGTCACTGCCGACGCTGACCACGGCACGCAGGCGCGAACCACGCCAATTGACAGTTGCCCACAGCAGACAGCCGAGCACGAAAGAACGGACTCGGACAGCAGCGCGCCGTTCAGCGCGACCGCCACCACGCTCATGGATTTCTGTCCGGCGCCCTTACCAAGCTGGCACCGCCAGGGGCTTCCTGTGTTTTTTTTGATTGGCCAATAGAAATGGTGGCAGCACACGGTGCTGTCAACGGCAAACAGACCCACCACGATTCACATTGACAACCAAGCCACGTGGGGTCGCCGCCAAGAGTCGCCCATCCGAACAGACCACCAGCAGCCTTACTGTCATCTCACTTTGCCAAGCAGCCACCGCTGCACAAGCGGCAGGCCAAGAGAGCAGCCCACAGAGCCCACAAAACGTAGACTTGACATACGCGGGGCCTCCACCGCGAACAGGCAGCCGATCAAGGCGCCCCGCGAGTGCCAGACCTACCCGACGCCGCCCGCGCCAAACCAGCGCTCATACCACGTTGAGAGTCGCTGCCAATACAGCCATGGACGCCGCGTTCCACCCGCTTGCTGTCGCCCAGAAACGGGCCGCGCCATCGCGGGCCTGACTGCGCACATGCGCAATGCGGCGCTGGAAAGCCACGCCCCTCTGCGACGCGCGGCATCACCTGCGCCGCCGGCGTCCGAGCGGGAGCACGGCGCCTAGCGCGCGGACCAATGGGCGCTCCGGCGCACAGACGCCGCGGCGGAGGACCCTCGGTAAACACTCTCACCAAAGCTAGCGCCCCGACCACAGAGCTCCGAACATTGTTGGTAGCCAACCAACCAGCCGAGGCTGCTCCCTCCACGGCCACCATCAGCACCATCCGCGCGATGATGGGGCCATAATGGAGGAGTTCCTCCGCCGGAAGCGGACGCGCGCTCGGGCGCGGGCGCAGCCGCGGCCCACGGAAAGGCCAACGAGGCAACGGCCCAGTCGGGCGGCCAAAGCGAGCCGACGCCGCTCCTGCCGCCACGAGGGGACCACAGCCTCCAGCCCCGCGAGTGGCTCAGCATCTTGCGATTGATCCGAAAAGGCCCCCTCGGCCCCATCAATTCAGCAGATCCGCTGACCGGTCGGTGTAACCGTGAAAAGTGGGCGCCCCAGTGGGCGTGCGTCGTGCCAAAGGATGGCCAGCTCCACTGCATTTGGGCAGTGGTTTGCCAGACTCTGCCAGCAGGGCCACCTCCTTGGAAGGTCTGCGCGTGGCCGCGCAGCTCTTCGGCCTCAGCGCTGGGGCGGGTCTTCTCTCCGCGCCTGCCTCCGCCGCCCGAGGAGGGCTTCACTCTGCGCGCGTGGTGGCGTGACTGCTGGCTGGCCTCCTCGGCAGCCCTGGTGGGTTGTGATGGGTGCGCTGGCGCGCGCGCGCGCGTGGCGCTGGGTGCGCGTTGCGCTCGCTGATGCGTTGGCGGCGCTGCGCCTCCTTGGGGGTTGGTCTTGTGCGTGTGAGCTTGCGCTTTCTGGGAAGCCAGGTAGATGGCGCCGATGGTCTGCTCAACTGTTTGTCTGCTCGGGGTCGTGCCCGAGGGGGTCTGTGAGTGATCGCGTGCTGATGCGATCGAGTCCCGTCTGTTCGGGGTGGCCCTGTCGGCTTGATCTGTTGTTCAGCCTGCTGGTAACTTGGCTTCGCTCGGTTCTCTTCCCGCTCCTTTCCTGAAGGCATGGGGTTCGTCCAGGTTGATGGGGGGGAGGGGGTGCCGATGTGGGCCAGGCTATGGGGTGGTTCGTCAAGGAGGACCCCCCCTTTCAGCTTTTGTCCCGTGGTCGCGGCTGAGGCAGCCGTGCTCTTGCCGGCCACGTGGCCACTCTTGGTCGCGCCACGTGGCCACTCTTGGTAGGCTGGTGTCTTGCCCCTGGCTACGTCAGCATCGATGACTTCGGCAGCTTGGGGGATTTCGGCGTCGGTGACCCCAGCTTGGGTATGGTCCCCTGCGCTCCGCCCGTCCTAAAGCCTTCTGACCCTGGATGGGCCCTTTCTTATGCGGGCGGCATCCCATCGGATGAGGAGCTGGAGGACTTTTGGGTACATGAACGTGGCCTTGGAATCGTTCGAGCCAGCTGGTGCGGGTTGAGCTTTGCAGATACGGATACGGATACGGATCGCCTGTGCGGGCATGCGCCCGGGCCCCTTAAGGGCGAGGCGGGTGAGGCCATGGCCTCGCATGAGAAGCTGCGCGCGTCGGGGGTCTACTCAAAACAATGTGTACTTCAGGAGCTGATTTCCGACAGTCCCCATTCATCCGTTTTCTCATGATGTAGCCACGTCGTCTCGTTGACATGGCAATGGGGCCGGGGGCCCTGGGCGCGCTCCCCTGTCTGGACCTGTTGACGCCAGTGGCGCAGTAGTTGGCGGCGTGGGCTGGATGCGCGCTGGCCGAGACGCGGTCTGGTGACCTAGCGCCTGATGCCTCTCTGCGCGGTCCTGGCAGTAGGGCCCATCCGTGCTGGCGTGGGCGGTCTAAGTTTCCTGCCCGCGATGCGGTGGATAATATGCTGTGCTCGTAGGCGTGCCCAGGTGGTTCTGCTGGGTCCCAGGTGGCCCGGGGGCAGATTGCGGTCCCTGGCGTGGCGGGGCCTCGCCTAGTCCACGTGACTCCGCTGACTTGCTTTTGAGCGACGGCCTCGAAGATGTCTTTGCTTTGGTAGGCGGCATCGACATCGTTAAGTCCCACACGTGGCCACTGGAAGAGAGATCCGATAATTCTCCAGTGGAACTTCTCCAGCGCCATTCACCCCGGGATCTCTGGCCTACCCTCGCTCAGTGATCACGTCGAGGAGGTGCCCTGGAGCATGTGGGCGCGCGGTGATATCTCTTGGACTACCCACGTGCTCCGAGCGCCCCAAGGAGATCCTCCCGCCGACACACCCTCACCACCAGACGCGACCTGGACGCCGTCGCCGCGGTCAAACAAGGCCTTGATTGGTTGCCAACACCTGGTTGCAAATAACCAAAGGCACTACTCAACGCACTGCCTGGCAGCTTGGCCTCCTCTGCAACTATCTTCGCGGCAGTGGCCACACCCAGCAGAGGAGAGACCGCGCGGACATCTCGGCCGACCCATGGCAGCTGCGCAGATGGTGCAATCAAGAAGAGAGGAACCCACCGTCTGGAAATGCCGATGCTGGGATTCGCGCCGCCTCGAGAACCATGATCACCCATCAACAGCGGAGAGACCTCCCACCTCGCGCAGGACTATGTGGGCCGCCTAGATGAGACCCGCAGCTGCTAGACCTCCAGGCCACCTCAGCTCAGGAAGGGCTCTCACAGCCCATTCCGCGACCGCCCCCCGAGGGACCCGAAGGGGAACCGTTCGAGCATACGCAGACAACAGCACAGGGGGTCGGATGGGAACATGCGGCCACAGGCGGAGCCTGCACGCGCCAGGACCACGGGCGCCTTGCCAGCGCTGGCTTCGGAGCCTATATCACGGGCCCGACCACCGGCGGAGCTCCGGCGCAGGGCCTGGCCCAGCCCGCGCGACACGCGGAGGCCCTCGCCCTGCACCCGGCGGCTACTTCTGGGCGGCCAATCCACATCTTTCAGGAAGGAAAAAACACACACACAGACACAATTAATCGTCGATCTCCCAGAAAATATGCGAAAATATGGGCAGTGGGGGGGAAGGCAAAAACCCAGAAAATATTAAGGAAATATGGGGGATCTGGTTATTTGTGTGTAGTTATTTGTGTGTGTCCCTGGGCCCCTTCAATCTTCGTGGACAACAAGCCATCGTCGACGGATTTGAGGCCCTCCTCGCAGGAAAGCCACCACAAGTCACGGGAGCTCAGGCCAATCCCTGGCAAAGAAGCCACCGCGCGCTGCAAGCCAACCTGGATATGCGCGAGGCCCAGACAGTCGAATGCCACCCCGGCGAGAAAGGCGCAAAGCCTTTAAAGCAAGGTCGATCACGCCGACCACGGAGGCTTTTAAGCGCCACGCCGATGAACTGGCCACAGCCAGAGCACGCATAACCTGCAGCACGATGCCATCGACGGAGCTATGTAGCGACGACAATTCGCGGCGGTTCTCCACTGCACCGCTCTCGCGATCTATGGCCGCCGCCAGCACGCGTTGCACTTGAGAGACAGACGTTTAGGTGATTCCAGGGCTGACCTCAACAAGATGAGTCCCATCCTTTCACCATAAGGCAAGGAAGCGACGAGCCACCAGGCTCACCTAGCGACCCCTCGCAACCACAAGGCCCACCAGCTTCTTCGACGATATTGACGACCCATGGGGTGGCACATTCAACGACTTCGAAGGTGAAGACGAAGACCCACTGGGGCTGAGTACGACCTCGACCAACGATGACAAAACCGTTGCTACTCCATCAGGAGGCCAACGACGAAAGCACAGGCCGGCGTCCGCAAACACATTCGGGCGCGGTGGCTCAAAGGATGGAAGTCCAGGACCCCGCCTCCGCAGACACGGAGGGAGAAGGTACCGGTGGAACGCCAGTGCATCGAACGGATCGCAAGCTTGCCCTCACGCAGCACATCTTGGTTGTCAGGTAACAGCCATATCGGGAACGCGAAACGGTTCTCATCGCTAGCATCACGGTGCTGCAACAGCGTGTCGCCAACCTTGCGCAGACCCTACGCAGACAGATTCTACCGAGCTCAGTCCGCCTGGAACGACCTGCCACAGGCCTTCCGTCCGACCGCATGTTTCGAGGTCGCCTTCCAAAGAAGCCTCCAGGCCCACTTCGACTTCTCACCGCTAGCACACCTGTGCTCGCCCTTCCCTCTCTCGTGAGCGCTGCGAGAACAGGTGGCAACTGTTCCGTGGCTCTTGCACTGTGCCGCCGCGGGGGCCCCAGGCGGCGCCACGGTTCACCGAGGTACCGAGGCGCGCATGCCCGCTTGAAGCCGGCGCCTTATGCTCGGGCGTGCTGACGGGGCGCGCCGAGCCCCGATTTGTTCCACAGATCCGTTTCTCTTTCCGGTCGGGGCCCGCTGCAGACCGCGCCATGGAGGAGCGTGGTGTTCCCAGCCTCTGCTTGTTCTGCAGCACCTCCTGCCGGTGCGAGGCAGGCCCAGGCGGCAGTGAAGCCCCGGTAGGCCTGGAAGGCCTGCCATCCGAATTGTTGCGTTTGTTTGTTTCTCTCTCTCTATCTCTCTTTCTCTCTCTCTCTCTCGTTCTCTCACTCTTTTTCTCTTCCCCCCCGTCTCTTCCACACCCTATCCCCATTCTGCCTCTTATTTCCACCTCCCCTGCATTCTCCCTCCCCCCAAACCACTCGAGTTCCTCGCTCTCCGCTCCATTACCCTGCTCCCATCCCGGCCCTTCCAATTCCAATTTCACTCCATAATATTCCCCTCGCCAGACTGCGTTGCGGAGGCACGTCAGGGCGGCCTTTGGGGTCAATTGTGCGGGGAATGACAGCAGCCAATTTGCTCGCTGGACCTCCGCAGTCGTCATCGTCGTCTACAGGAGTGTAAGAGGAGGAAGACGAAGAGAAGGAGCAGGAGGAGGCGGAGGCGAAGGAGAAGGAGAAGTAGGAGGAAAATGAGGAGGAGGAGGAAGAGAAGGAACAGCAGCAGCAACAGGAGATGCAGCACGCAGAAGGGAAGCTTGAAACTGCATGCAGAAGTTAGCCTGGTCCCCAGTTGTTTCTGGCCAAGGCCAGCTCTTCTTTGGTTATACTCCGAGCTCCGCCGAGCATTGGCCTGTTGTTCTGCCTTGGGCTGTTCCATGTTGTGAACATGCACACCGCTGTTGCTCGTTTTCCTGTTTCACTTTGTTGGCCTCTACATCCACTAGTTGTTGCCACTTCTGGCTGCCCAGTTAGAGTAATTTGCTGGTGATAGCAGTCTCCCCTGTCCATTCTCCCCTGCTGCTCTGCTCGTTCTGCCTTCTCGTCCCCACTGTTGTTTATTATGTATGTGTTTCCTCGTTCCCGTTCTGCGCTTTTTGTGTTTCTCTGCTGCTTCCTGCTTGCCGTCCGCTGTCTTCCCTGCATGCTCTGCTTCCTCACTTCGCGCTTGCGCTCTTGCCGCAGTCTCGTGTGGCACTCCTGGCTTGTCGGGTGATGTCTGCCTCACTTCGTGAAGCAAGAAAATCAAAGGCATTGAAATGTTGTGAATATTCTGATGTCCATTCCTTTGAGCTCCACTGCTCTAGCGGTTGGGCGTTGGGCTGCGTTTGTGTGTTGGCGTCCAGGTGGTCGGCCGATCCGACCGTGCCTTTGGTTGGGAGGCGTGCCGAGCATTGCGGTCCGCTCGGCACGTGCCGCCGAGTCCTCACGTGCAGGTGCCTGGTCGAAAGGTACCCAATCCGTTGCACACGGAAGGGGCATTTGGAGGAAGAGTTCGAGGAGTGGCCCTGCCCACGAGCGAGCGGAAGTGTGAGGCAGTCAGGTGTTGCAAGCGTCCAGCCGCCTGGGTTTTCGATAGTCCTGCCACAACCTCACCTGCGAGGATGAGGAGGAGGAGGAGGAGGAGGCATTTGGAGGAGGAGTTCGAGGAGTGGCCCTGCCCCACGAGCGAGCGGGAGCGGGAGGCAGTCGGGTGTTGCAAGCGTCCAGCCGCCTGGGTTTTCGATAGTCCTGCCACGACCTCACCGCCGAGGAGGAGGAGGAGGAGGAGGAGGAGGAGGAGACGGAGGAGCAGGAGGGGGAGGAGGTGCAGGAGGAGGAGGAGGAGGGGGAGGAGGAGGAGGACGAGGAGACGGGAGAGCAAAAGTAGAAAGCAGGAATAAGACAGGAGAAGGGGGAGAAATGGCGCACAGCCTCCTTCAGCCCGTACTGCCGCACGCCGCGGGCTGCCCCAGGGCGGCCGGAGGGATGCAGGGCCCGCTCCTGCGGTGTTCCCCCAAAGGGGGAGGCGGGGATCGGAGCGGACAGGGGTAGCCGGGGGGGGGCGGCAGGGAAGGGAGGCGAGGGGAGGGGAGGGAGTCTCCCGCATCCTCCCCGCCCTCCGCGTCCCCTCCTCCTCCTCCTCCTCCTCCTCCTCCTCATCATCATCATCATCAGCAACAGCATCATCATCATAATCATCCTATGTGTCTTTCTTGCTCATGTCTGTCCACGTCCTCCTCCCTTCTCCTCCTCCGCCTCCCTCCCCTCCTCCCCTCAGGTGAAGCACCTGGAGTCCCCGGTGGACCCCGTGGGCATGGATTGGTTCCCACTCATCCGCTCCGCCGCTGCTTTTGCCGCGGGGCACCAGGGAAGGAAGAGGAGAATAGGGAGGAGGGCAAGGGGTCCCTCTGCCCCCCCTTACCCTCCCACCATTCCTCTGCTACGGCCAGCCCCTCCTACCGTTTGCTCGTGCCCCTGCTCTTGCTCACGCGTTCACCCCGCCCATCCTTCTCCACCCATGCTCCTGGTAAATAACTCCTCCGTGTCGCACCCCCGGACGTGTCGCCAGGGCGGGCGTGGCGTTTGCCCTGAGATTTCCGTACCATGTCTGATCCTGAGGATTGAATTGTGCAGCAGCTTCACGGATAAAGGGCGGGTGAGTTTCAAAGTGTGGTTCTCGACATGACGCCGCGCACATTCGTGTTCAAAGTTCGCAACGATGGAGGGCGGATCGTTTTCAACAGATGGTTCTCACTTCAGCGCCGCAATCATTCGTTTTCAAAGATTGCAACAGTCTCACGAGTGGAGGGCGGGTGGTGCTCAAAGTGTGGGTCTCGCTCTAGCCCCGCGCACATTTGTGTTCAAAGACTGCAGCACGTTCAGGAAAGGAGCGTGGGTGGTTTTCAACATGTGGATCTCTCTCCAGCGCCGCGCGCATTCGTTTCTTAAGCTTGCAACAGCCTGAAAGATGGGAGGTACGTTGCTTTCAAAGTGTGGTTCTCGCCTTCGCGCCGCGCACATTTATTTTGGAAGTTTGTAACAGCTTCAAGCTCCGTTGCCAAACGTGGCTTCGGCTTTAGCGCCGCATACATTCGTCTCCAAAGTTCGCAACAGTTTGAAGGGCTCGTATGGTTGAAGTCAAAGGAATAACGTTCTGGCACGATTTAGGGTTGTCAGGACGCAGCAACCACATGGATTCGCGGTGTGCAAGTCCCAGGAATTGTGTTATGGCACGGTTTAGGGCTGTCAGGACGCACCAGTCGCGTCAAACCGCGGCGCTTAAGTACCAGAAGTGGCGTGTTGGCACGATTGGGGATTCTCAGACGGTTGCCTTCCAATGGGACACTTCCCGCCATGAAAATAGATCCTTACAAGGACCCATGGAGGGGGAACTTGGAGGGAGGAAGTATTGCAACATCCTCGACGCGTCTTGGGTTTAAACTGGTCCTCCTCCTTCTCCTCCTCCTCCTCGTCCTCGTCCTTCTCCTCCTCCTCCTCCTCCTCATCCTGGTCGTTGCTCAGGTTTTTGGTCCCGCAGTGGATGCCCAAGGACAAGGAGGACGGCGAGAGGAACCCCGCGGCACGTCCGCCTCCTCGGCCGCTATCGTCGCAGCGGCCGCTACCATCACAGCCACGACAATGCAGGGAGCTCGCCACCACCGCGAACCCCCGCGGCTGGGTCGCCAGAGCCCCTTCCCCCCCACCCCCCGGAGCCGCCCTCATCGCGGCCATCGCCGTCGTCGTGGCCGCCATCACACGACCATCGCGCCGAAGCCGCCACCGCGATCGCCATCGCCGCAGCCACTACGATCCAGGGAGCCCGCCCAGCGCACCGTCGCCATCCTTGAAGAGGCTTCTTTGCACGGCTATAAAGGTGTGTACAGATATGTATATATATACACCATTCGTTAGTTGCCAGATGCTGTCTGTCCCGAGTCTTCGAAGGCGGTCTCTTCTTTTGTGCGTGCACAATTCGCATGATTCTTCAAAGATTACGTGTGCTCCTTGGGTCCCTCAGCCGTTCAAGACCATCAATCAACAACCCGATTGTAATGAGAAGAGTTCGCCGTTGCGTAGTGGACGTCCGTGCAGACTGGTTCAGAAAGATCCTGCCTCTGTCTGGGAGCACAGTGAGCTGCCCGTCGTTCCCGATGCGCGTGCAGACGACAACCGACCAGCATTGCAACGTGTGGGGGCCGTAGCTGCTGTCAGACAGGAGCCCGAGGTACAAGCGATGTATACAGTTCGTTCCGTCTCCTGCCCTAGGAAGCGCCCCTCAGGCCCCAAACATATGATATGGTTAAGTCGGGCACGTCCCTCTACAGGTGGAGCTCTCAAATATAATAGTTCCAAAAACATAGTGGGGACGAATTGTGACCCGTTAGTATTTTGGAGTATGGTTTAACTGTTTGTTTTTCGTCCAAAATCCCCATGTAGGGGGCATGCTCGACCAAATGATATGACCGCGCGAGCGGCTCTCCGCCATCTCAAGATGACAAGGCATGAGGGCGGGCTTGAGGGTTAGGGGACGTTGTCGTCGTCGTCGTTGTGCAGTTGCCTCCTCCTGCTCCTCATCATATTCTTGTTCGTCCGCCTCGCATTCATGATCATCATCTCCTCCTCCTCCTCCTCCTCCTCCTCCTCTTCCTCCTCCTCCTCCTCCTCCTCCTCCTCCTCTTCCTCCTTCTCCTCTTCCCTCCGCGTGTTCCTCGCCCTCCTCCTCCTGCCGCTTATCACCACCACCGCCGTCAAGAGGCCCTGAGCATGCGATTCAGGCCCCAGGGCGGCCCCAGGAAGGCCCCCCGAGGCAGACCACAATTCCCCTCCAAGACTGCCCCAGCTGGCCCACTGCCCGTCCAGGATCGTCCCGCGACGGTCCTGAACACGCCCCAGGCTGGCCCCGCTGCCCGTCCTGGAAGAGCCCGAGGACGTCCCCAAGACTGCTCCAGGAGCCGTCGTGACGTGAAGACCCCCTACAGGGTCTCCCCAGAAGGGCCCGAATCGCATGCTCGGGGCCCCCGGGGAATGCACGGGGAGTGGACGCCCGAGCGATGGCGAGTCTCGGGGAGCGTCGGCCTCTTGGGGGGGCCTTCTCTAGTTGAGCCCCAGGGGGGCCAGCGGAGGCCGAGGGGGAGGGGCGCATGCCGTGGGAGAGCGCGGCGTCGGAGGAGGAGGAGGAGCGAGGACGGAGAGGAGCGAAGAAGACAGACAGCGCCATGAACATGAACTGCCCCGAGATCCCCAAAAGGGTCTCCCAAGAGGGCCTCAGGAGGCCCCGTCGGAGTTTCTCGGGCGGCCCGACGAGGGCCCCGAAAGGCAACACGGCATGCCAGCATTGTCTTTGGCGTGGCCTTGCGAGTCGGGTATACCTCGATGGAGGGCGGATGAGGAGCAGAAGCAGGCTTGGGAGCTGCACATCTGCCGACTATCTTCCAGCTCATATACAACCAGAACGTGACGCCGACAACGTACCAGCCGCCACTGCCAAAGGGACCACCACCAGGCAGAGCCCCAATACAAACCACAACAACGGCGCCGACTCCCCGATACTTCCGCAACCCAGCCGCTCCGCCAAGGTACAATCAAGGCGACATCTTGCGGCCAGACTCCAACCACTATGCAATGCTGCCACCAGGATGGCAGGCCGTCGCCGACGTAAACAGGAGCCTCGCTTACTACCACAACATGCAGACAGGCGCCACCCAGTGGAAGTTCCCAGGCGACGTCAACTAGGATCCATACTGCACTCGACAGCTAACAGACCAGAACGTCGAGGCCTTCAGCATCAACAAGGACGGCTGCTTCTACCACAGTCTCAGGCCGATATTCCCCTTCCCAACAACCACCCCCCAATGCCAGAGTACCCTGTGAAGCGAGAGCAGGCCGGCAAAGCAATGACACAGACCATCCACGACCTATTCGACAAGCTGAGGACCCAATACCAACAGGAACAAGAAGCACACGAATGGGTCGATCGAGCACATCTGTGGCACAGCGACATCGGAGGAGGCACCTTCTTTTCCCACCGCAAGGTCATACAGAAATCCCGACCGTTCTTCACCTTCGGCAGCAACTAGAGGGAGGTCCACACCATCCACGAGTCAGCCACATCATCCACCGCATTAAGCAGCTGCGCAGCCCCAGACCAATACTTGCACCGTACGACGACCACAGCACTTTCGACCGCGAGATACAGATCGAGATATTACCGACTCGAGACGCGACCACACACGAAGCCACCATGCACCAGAACGAAGACACGACATTGATTGAGGGAACAACATGGAGTACTTACCGAGCGACGAAGCACCTACGAGCAGCGCAGGCGCACCCACCAGCGCAACCCCATCAAACATATCCCCAGTACCGACCCCCAACCAGCAGCAACGACCATTCAGCATAGCGGCACGACCCCAGCAGCGAAGCCTGCGAGATTCAAAGCACCACCCACCCTACCAACAGTCCGAGAAGAAACAGCAGAGCAACCTACACAGGGGATCGACGGCGAGCTCCAGGCCAGACAGCACGACCTTGACCTACAGGAGCAGCACACAACCACCAGGGAACCCAGCTGCTCCAACCCGACGTCCAGCGACAGCACACCAGCAGCAAACGCCAACCAACCACCTGCCACAGAAGTCGCACCACAGAGGCCCAGCGGCTGGTTCCGCATCACCACGGTTACACACGAGAAGTTCAACCACGACGCAATCAATTTCCCGATGGAAGCAGCCATACGCCACTCGTTCCACACCAAGTTGCAGGACTTTTTCGAACGCGGCACAATCACTGTGAACGAGGGGGACGAGGTCACAATCATCAGCAGGTCCTACGACAGCAACGACGGCCCATGGGCCCGGGGCACCATCACCCAGACCAATGCTACGCGGAACACCAAGCAGTCTCTGATATCAGACATCATCACCGGGTACCCGTCCCAACACAACGACATCCAGGAGAAGCTCGACACCCTGACGATAATGGTAGGCAATCAACACGTCAGCTACAACCAGGCCCTCAACATCCAGAAAAAGATCACCCTGGCTAAGGAACCCATCTGCAAGCTCATCGACAGTCTCAACGGGTCCATCGACAACGTACGCCCGTGAACCTTGGCGATAGCCATCCCCACCATAAACACCAAACACTGGACGACCGCACGAGCTGCCCGCGCGCCCGACGTCGTCACAGCGAACGGATACGCCGTCCCGACCTCCGACCTACGATCCAACCACTCTCCATGAACTGTCACCTCCTGAACCGCGTCCTCCCCATCGTCAGCAGCAACATCCGTGCCCCGAAGTACTACCACCTCTCCCTGAACCGCACCCCCCCCCCATCGTCAGCAGCTACATCCTTGTCCTGAAAATACCTCCTCACCTCCGAGTGGAAGGGGGGGACGGGCGTGGCTGGGCACGGTGATACGCGGTGGAGGACGGGGTACCGGGGCAGGGCGGGGCGACCGCGGCCCGCTAACTTCCCGCGCTCCCCGCTCTCGTCCTCCCCCTCCTCGTGCGGACCGCCGTCCGTGCCCCCCCTTTTCGACCTCCTTGCGGCCCCCCGTCCGCTCCTCTCCCCCCCCTCGTCCTTCGTCGGCCCCCATCGACGGGCGGAGCGGCCCATTTTCGGAATGGCCCCCTTCTGCGGTACCACGCGGTGCCCGCAGGAGGGGGCACTGGCAGCACCTCAGCAGCAGGGCCTCGTGCCATGAGTGGGTGAGTGAGGGTGGGGAGGCAGGGGTCGGGAGTGTATTAAGGGAAAGAGTAGAAACAGGAGTAGGGGGATAATGACGCTGTTGATGATGATGAGGATGATGATGGTGGTGTAGATGATAATGACCACGGTCACGATCATGATGATGATGATGATGATGATGATGATGATGATGATGATGATGATGATGATGATGATGATGATGATACTGAGACGAATGCCTTCCACTGGAGCTTAAGCGCGCGTTTCAAAAATGCTATCACGCTTTAAGGCCCTTCAGCCTGACAGATCCAACGGCCGCACGGAAGGAGGGCGGGTTGCTCTCAAATCCGGCTCCCTCCTGAGACCCGTTCACGCGGTACGAGATAGAAGCGCGAGATGTCTTCTGGTCCCCTTTCCCGCCCCCTCCTCCGCCGACATCCGGGACACCGCGATTTGTTTCGCAACGAGGCTCCCCAGAGAACTGGACCTCTGCCCAGGGGCCGGCTTTTCGTCCTGAGCCGTTTTTTGACAGCCCCTTGGCCCGGGAAGAGCCCCACGAGGCCGAAACGTGCCAGAAATGTGCCGTGCTCTTTTTGTTCCACAATGTGTGAATTGTTGACGCTTCGCGTATCCCCACCAGCCCATCCAGAAACGATGCTCAGGGGAGTTAAGGTGATCAGGGAAGTCGGGGAGCATGCAGAATAACAAAGGGCGGGGGAAGCTGTCACAGACCCCGAGAGGGGGAGGATGGAAGAGGAGTCGTCGTCGTCGTCGTCGTCGTCGTCGGAGGAGGAGGAGGAGGAGGGGGAAGAGGAGGAGGAGGAGGAGGAGGAGGAGAACGGAGAAGGAGGAAGAATCGGAGGAGGAGGAGGAGGAGGGGAAGGAGCTTCTTGGGGGTCTTTTGAGGGCCTCTTGGAGGGCTTTTTGGGCGCCTTGGGGCATCTTGGGCGCCTCTTGGGACCCTCTTGAGGCGCTCTGGGGAGCCTTCGGGGCGCTTTTGGGGCCATCTTGGAGGGAGTCGATCAAACAAGAGGGGGGGTTTAATTAGCGCCCCCCCTCGGAAGCCCCTAAAATCGCCTCTTG